GTTATGACACAAAGGACGCATTTGGATGACTTTTTACGTGGTAGAATTATCGGCCGTCTGGAATGTGGGCGTACCCAACTGGAAGTATCAGATGAACTTGGAATTGCCCAGAGCGTCATCTCCAGGATTTGGCAACGATTCCAAGATGATGGTAATGTGAGTAGACGTTACAGCACAGGTCGCCCCAGAGCTACAACGTCAAATGAGGACCGGTATTCGGCAGTTACTGCCAAATGAAACATACGGAGCACAGCCTCAGACTGTCTGGTCGGCTGTCTTCAGCCACTGGTACGACAATTTCAAGGCAGACCGTGTACAGACGCTTAGGGCGGATTGGTTTATATGTTCGTAGACCTGTCAGATGCGTTCCGCTTACTGCAACTCACTGTCGTCTGCGGTTAGCCTGGAGTAGAGAGCATGCATTGTGGACACCGCAACAGTGGGCTTGTGTGATGTTTTCCGACGAGCCAAAGTTTAGCTTGCAGTCTGATTCTCGCCGGACCTTCATATGGAGAGCTCCAGGTACCCGTTACCACCAAGAAAACATCATTGAACCGACACCGTTACGGTGGTGCAGCAGTGCTCGTTTGGGGTGGAATTATTCTGGGTTCCAGAACTGACCTGCATGTTCAAATTGGAACCATGACAAGCCAAATCTATCGGGACGTCATTCTGGAACAACATGTATGTTTGTTTCGGGGCGCCATGGGCGCACAATTTGTGTTTATGGATGACAACGCCCGTCCTCACCGTGCAAACATCGTAAGCGAATGCCTTCAATCGGAAGATATCACCCGTATGGACTAGCCAGCATTCTCACCGGACTTGAATCCAGTAGAGCACATGTGGGATATGCTTGGCCGATGAGTTGCAGCCCGGCAACCTCCTCCTACATGTCTACCGGAACTTCGGAGAGCATTGCTTTTTGAGTGGTGTAATATCTCCCAAGATCAGATCGATAATTTGATACTCGCCATGCCTAGGCGTTGTACGGACTGTATTGCATCGTCTGGGAGACATACAATATATTAACAATTATACCAACCATGTAATATTGGTTTTTTGTAAATACTTTTTTTTTTTTTTTTTTTTTTTTTTTTTTTTTTTTTTTTTTTTTGTAATTTGCTCCAGGGAGAAAAAATCGCTAATTTTTTTAATAATATCAAACATATAGCATCTGTTTTTGCTCTTTACCTTTTGTTTAATAAATAAGCTTTACAAATAAGTCAAATTTGTTTTGCTTCTAACTCTTCCTTTGCCTAATTTTGCATTATCCTTAATTTATGGACATGAGTGTAGATCGATGTGCACATGGGCAAAGCCAATGTGGTGCTCAATGCCGAGGTGGTGCGCGATGCCGAGTTTGTGCAATTCTGTTATGTTTTTATATGAAAATAGATCGATGTGCACATTGGCTAAGCGAATGCGGTGCGCACTGCCGAGTTTGTGCAATTCTGGGATGTTTTTTAAGTGAAAATAGATCGATGTACACATGGGCAAAGCCAATGTGGTGCGCAATGCCGAGGTTGTGCAATTCTGGGATGTTTTTTAAGTGAAAATAGATCGATGTGCACATGGACGAAGCCAATGTGGTGCGCAATGCCGATGTTGTGCGCGATGCCGAGTTTGTGCAAATCTGAGATGTTTTTAAGTGAAAATAGATCGATATGCACATGGGCAAAGCCAATGTGGTGCGCAATGCCAAGTTTGTGCGACTCTGGGATGTTTCTTTAAAAATGAGCACATGGACACCGAGTTTGTGGAATTCTTTGATGTTTTTCGAGCGAATACTGATCGTTGTGTAAAAGGGAAAACGAGGTTGTGTGTGATGCCGAGCAGTAATGTACGAGGGCCATCCAGGAAGTAGATTACGTTTCCGTCTGTGTCCGCTAGGGGCGGGGCTAGCGCGGCCATCTTGGGGTCAGAGCGTTCAGTCTGCATCTAGCCGTGCTAGTGAGAGGTTCGTGCTGTGCTCCGTTCAGATACTGTGACGGTTTGAAATGTCTGCGTTAATTGAAAATCCCGCGAGCTGCGAGGTGCGCTCAGTAATAAGGTTTCTGACTGCAAAAAACTGTAAACCGATAGAAATCTATCGGCAGCTTCGTGAAGTGTATGGGGACAACATTATCACTGAAGGTGGAGTGCGTCAGTGGGTCATAAGATTTCAAAATGGCCGAACCAATGTTCACGACGAAGATCGAAGTGGGAGACCCAGCATAGTGACCGCCGAACTTCTCGAAAAAGTCGATGCTAAAGTCCGTGAAAATCGAAATTTCACAATAACGGAACTTTCTTTGAGTTTTCCACAAATTTCGCGAAGTTTGTTGCACGAAATCATCAGCGAAAAGCTTGGTTACCACAAGTTTTGTGCAAGATGGAAGGCAAGAAGAGGTAACGAAGTGGTTGAAGGCGCAGGCGGCCGAATTTTTCGACGAAGGAATTTCCAAGCTCGTACATCGCTACGATAAATGCCTTAATTTGTATGGTGACTATGTAGAAAAGTAGTATTTGAGTGTGGCTTTCATCTGTATATAATAAAATTTGTTTCCTATACTTTGTTTATTTTTTTATTCCAAAACGTAATCTACTTTCTGGATAGCCCTCGTAACTTTATTTATGTTCAATGTTTAACATATCGTTAGTGTATTTTAAATTTGTATTGTTGTTCTAATTGTGTATTATATTTAAGACGTCATTTTTCATTTAAATTGTATTTTTAATTTTTTGGCTTTGATATGTTTAAACGCTTTCCGACTTACGATATATATCGATAGCCCGACGATCTACTCAACAGTGGCAAAACTATAAACTTGACCCTTTAAGTAACGTTTTACCTCATATTTTAATACGTAGTGTTTGGTATCGTAATTCCACTTGATAATATGAGCTCATTGATAATATGTGTGTGTGCGTATGTGAAGTATTACTTAGTGTTCCAAGTTTGTAGTATTTATTTTATTATATTATTTTCTTTCATTCTGAGAAATTAGATTTTTTTTATTTATTAATGCGTAGAATTTTAGTATGCCTACACAGAATATGGCGTGATTTAGGAATTTTAGAAACTGATATGAAAGCTGTGTAATGATGTTCATAGGCAATAAAAAATATTCTTCTTTTTTTATTAATACAAAGTTTTAAATTTTTAGAAAATAATGAAAATTGTCTAATTATTGGTATGTCAGGAATTATGTCGTTACGTAGCAAGAAGGTAATTTGTAAAAATGATAAAATTGAAATGTTCCACAATATGAATTTAAATTATTTTTTTTTTATTTGTATAAATGCTTTAATAAAAGTCTCTGAAAATATTGAAGCTCTACAAGTATTAGAAACTGCGACGTTGTTTATCGTTTTAATAATTGGTAGAATTCGCTCACTGTATCATGGTAATTTTAAATATAAACAATTTATTATACTTATTATCAGTAACGCCTAAGCTTAAATATTATAAATGTAAATTAAAAGTAAAGAATTTGATATTAATTTACAATAATAACAATTTATTATTATTGTTTTTAAGAAAAAATAGAAAGTAGGCGTAGTGTAAATGCGAGACTTACATCGTGACGTCACAAGCTTAGTCCCACTCATTTATGGATGTCACACAGCTCCGCCTACTGAACTTTGTTGATGCAACCTATTTTGTGCTTTTACCCTGATATCTATTTCAAATAATTATAACCTGTTGAATCAACTACTATATAACTGACTGAAATTAAAAATAAACAAATTTTACGAAATTTTTCTTTATTACACAGAAAACTCCCAAAGTAGAACAAAACGGGAGCATAAATCTATATAGTATATATAAGCGCAATACCACTGACTCATCACGAGATCTCCAAAACTACACATCCGATTGACTTAAAATTTTACATATTCCACGATGTAGACGCGCACTAAGAACGGACTTTACGTTAAATCCTGTCCAAAATGAATTTTTGTTACACAATAGAAGTTTCTCATACATTTGTAGTCATTTCTGTAGCAATCTTGCTTTTAAGCAAGAAGAAAGGAGATGAAGACTTTGGCGAACGCCGTTTCCTCCAGTCACACATTTGGTTTTCAAATCCAAATTCAGAATTGTCTTTTATTATTGCCAAAACTAGATATAAAATACAATGTTGCCAATGAATGCATTTTCCTTTAAAATTATTAAACCAGTAAGTAACTTGCAGCTATGGAATGAATACAAACGACATTTAAATGATAAGGTTAATAATAATATTTATATTTAACTGTTACCCTAAGTTTCATGAAATTAAATGTTGTTATTGAGAGAAATAAATTATTGTGATGAAAAATAAAAATGTTGTTGTTATTTATAAAAATTACCATACATAAAAATTCAAGGACTAATAATTACAGTCGATTAAAAAATTTGATAACAAAGATAATAAAATTTATTTTCTGGAAACTTATGATAACAGTTAAATATATATAAACCTTAGTTTCATGTTGGTAATTTTTCGTGGTGTAGGCCTACTAGGGATCCCACCACGTTAAATAATGGGGACGCATCCCAATGCACAGTACCTCAGGGGTGATGTGGAAATCTGTTTATGACAGATTCACTGACTGGCACTATATTTCCCGACTTTTAAATTTAAAAAATTTACATTAATTATCAATTCGAAATTAGACATTTCGTCTATATAAGAAGTCTAGGTTTACATTCAAATAGAGAGTATGCCCAGCAAAGCAAGCGGATATCAGCTAGTATTTAATAAAATAAAAAATGTAATTTATTCCAAATACGATAGTATTTTTCCCACAACGAGTTTTATTGTTAAACTAAACATGCATTCTTTATTAGTTAATTTATCGGTAATTGTGTTCAGAGTTGTCTGAACAGCAGTCTCTGCTATAAGTCAAGTGGTTGATAAAAACAGCACAGATGACAAGCAAATAAGAGTTGTATTGATGCATTGACCTGATGTCGAATGGCACGTGAGTTCTACTGCAATATTTTTTATTCTTAATGATGTCTTTGGCAGCTCAGCAAAACAGATCGGGGCAATATCTTCATGCCAAGGACCGATGTGGATTCCGAGGGATCCTACAGATGCGAAGTTTCTACCGACGCTCCCACTTTCCGGACAGTAAAGGGAGAGAGAGAAATGAGGATATACGGTAAGAATATATTCACTTTCTTATTACACCGTCATATGAGCTCTTTCATAAGAATTATTTCCGTTACGATGTTTAAAATAAACCTTAGTTATTACGTTTAAATTAGTTAGTAAATATTTCAAAGGCTTACATTAATTTCTGACCTAAATTTTATTATTTTTGTGGGATTCTGAGTATTGACAAAGACTTCAAATTTAGATTTTCGTTAAGAAAATAAAAAAAAATCGAACGAGAACATTTATCATAAATTTCTATTATCAAGATCAGGTTGGCAGAAGAGCCTAAGCAGACTAAGAAGAGCCAAATCCTCTTTGGAAATGGAACTCTATATCATAAAAATATATTTTCACATACTTTTTTCTATTTTCACATATCATTTAAAATATAAATTATACAAATGTTGTTTGGAATATTTTACAAAATGTATTTTTGTATGTTAAAATTTTCTGTTTCAGAAAGTGATTTACGTGACGTAATGAACGTTTTTCGTGTTTTAACTGGTAAATAATTTTCTCGGTTTTCTGATCTTTGAATATGCATTTGGCCTACTTTCATTATAATGAATAGAAAAATAAATAGGAAAACAAATGTGTTCAATTATACAATTTGAGATTATTCTTATGGAAATCTAGATTAAAAAACAGACCGAGTTCTGTGTGTGTATTTAATTATGGCAAAGCACAAGAGGGCTATCTGCCTAATGGGAGGGATGCCTTTCGTGGAGGACTTTCTAAGGGAAACTGGCTCGTATATACGTTACACATGGGGAAAACCACGAAAACGCCCATGCAGTCAGCCCGTTCGCGGGATTCGAACCTCAGACCGAACTACCAGTGTTCAGCGTCTTTACCGCTCGGCCGCTGGTGGGCTCAGACCGAGTTCTGTAAAATATTGTTGCGTGCGTACGAGTTCGTTATGAATTGAATGCACAAATCCGATGAAAAATTAACAAAGTTTATTATTATCACAACAAATAAAACAAAATGCTTAAACTTCTTCAGAGATAATCGTACAATATCTCAATATTACACAGTAGTTATCTTTTAACTACTCACGTTCAAGAGAACTTAGTTCAAAACAGTTAGAGAAAGCTAATCCACAAATTCACTACAGTCAACAATAGCAGTTTTCTAAACAAACGCTTAAAACAACAACTAACTGAATTGAGAGGTTTTCCTCCTTTTTATAAGCTTTTTAAATCACGTGCTAGATTGTTCTAGCAATTTCTCGAAATCAAAACGAGATATTTATTTATTAAAAGTTAAATGCAAATGCTCTAGTATTTTTAATTTTTCCGGCTTAGCTTTCTTTTAATATTCGTCACGCGCTGCACTCACAGGAAATAAAACAATTTTTATTTATAATTCTACTAACATTAACTATTTAATTACCAAATCATCCGTAACACTGCCCCCTTCCCCAAGTACTACACATCCTAGGCAGTACAGTCCCTGGACAGGAAGCCAAACTTACAACTAATGTAAATGCAATAATAAACATTACAATAAATGCAATAACTAACTTAAACAAATCATATGCGATTAAATACAAGTCAAATCAAATACACATTTCGAAACAAAATGCACCAAGGTCTTACACTATTTACAATTATTTACAGTACGTACTATCACCATAGTAATGAGCTAGGTGCTACTTTAGTAGACGGTTGCACGGATTTTGGCGTTTTTTTTTTTTTTTTTTTTTTTTTTTTTTTTTTTTTTTTGGCGAGCGATATGATTTATGGTAAACCCATTGCTGGACAAATTATTTATGGTAACCGATACTTTGCTGTCATTTTATTTTTAAAATAATGCGTTTTATTATGCATAAATTGTTTAAAATATTAAAAATCAATTTAATTTTGCATTTTTATTTGAAATAAAAATTTTGTTGTTTATGATATTTGATATAATTTTATGTTGTGGATGATGTAATCAATGACGTCACCTTACTTAAAAAGTAATTGGTTTTATTAATATCTATAAATTTAATCTAATGTTTTAAACAGTATTTATGGTTGTTAAATATTAAAATACAATTTAATTTTGCGTTTTTTAAATGATTTTATTATGAATGGTTATTTAAATAATTTTAATTCTGTGCGTGATGTAATCAGCTCCCTGATTGGTTACTGAATATTTGCGCATTACCGCGCCATTTTAAAATTTCATTATTGATCTCTTCGAATTGCTCAGATTTCAAATGGAATGGATATGTCCGTTTCGAAGATGAATGTTGTTATTGGTAATTACTAAGAATTATTGATATCGGAATAAAACAATTGCCCTTTGAGACCTTATTTTGGCCAACCTGGCTTTCCTAATCAAAGATTTATTTATAAATTGTTACAAGCGTCAGAGGAAATTTATTTTAAATTTTTGGAGGAACCTCGCTAATTGCTTCTTCAACGAAGTGCGAGAGATGTGGATCACAGACGAAGAAAGATTGTTAGAAGATCGTTTTTTTTTTTTTTTTTTTTTTTTTTTTTTTTTTTTTTTTTGTACTTATGAATATACGACAGGTAAAATACTTTAAAAAAATGTAAGTACATATTTTTATTTTATTTATAATTGTATACTTCAATTTTTATTAAAAAATTAATACATTGTTTTTAAATATTCTTGAGATATTTATTGCCCCATATTTTTTAATGTTAAATAATTATATCCTATAAAACTTATTTTAAAGTATTTGAATTTAATATTTCAATTCTTTTAAACGTTGGTATGATGCTTTTAATTCGATATTCAATTTAAGTAATATTTTAATCGAATTAAATGTTGGCGCAATGTTTTTATAGCGGTGTTTTTATTCTATTATATGAAAGTAATAATTTAACCTTACTTTAGCATTTTATACTCTTAGTAAATGTATTTATTTACATTTGCCAGACATCTTAAAAAACAACGTTTTCAACAAAAAATTAATCCATTATTTTTAACGATATTTATTTTTTTTAATTTCGAATACTTTACTATATGCGTAAAATACGAAAAAACAGCATTTTTCAAGATGGCTGACGACTGTAAAAACCGCGCTAACAATTGCGCCAATGCAAATCGCAAAAATCCATACAACCGTCTACCAAAGTAGCACAATGAGCGAACCTGTCGTAATGAAGGACTTTAGATTTAGAGTTCGATGACTTACGGATCCGAACCACGACGTCATTCAGCCTGTTTAGGACTGTATATGGACCATCCATGTGGACTGTAACTTCGGACTGAATCCTTTTCGTCGAATAGGGTTCCATTCATTCGTGGAATTGATGTTCAGTAGCTCTTGTGTCGTATCGGGTCTTCATCTTCTCCGTCGCCAAGTTGACTCGCTTTCTTGCAGAACGGTGCATTACTTCAAACCGGGCCTGGACATCTTGGATGTATTCCTCAGGCCAAACAGGCGACCAAACAGGCGGTCACAAGCAGACGAAGGTCTCGATTGAAGAGCATCTGGGATGGAGAATAGCCGGTATTCTGGTGTTTTTCTTTGACCCTATGATTTCGTCAGCTTGCTGTGTAGGGTCTTTCACATGAAACGTCTGCGTTCCAGGCGAGGATTCCTTTTGAGGATGGATAGTCATGTCCTCAGATGATAAGGCAGTTTGTTGTTTTTAAAGGAAAATTCGTATTTCTTTAGAAAATAAAATCCGAGTATGCATGGATCTGTAATATCTGCCACATATGTCGTGTGATGGTAGGCGGCACTTCCAAACGTGATGTTCAAGTTTGTCTTCCCAGCTATGTCTATCTTATCTCCAGACACAGTCTGAAGGATAGCAAAGGAAGGCGTCCGAATAAGTTTTATCTTTAAACTGTTAAATCTCCGAATGATGGTTAGATTAGCCCCTGTGTTAATAACCATATTGCAATGAACTCCATCGATATGCCCGTTGATGGACAGTCCGTTACTATTGCCACTCACTGTAGAAATCCTGAGTGCTTTAAAGCATGGTTTTTCATTATCTGGCAACCTCCGTTCCTCGATATGATCAATAATTTGTTTCCTGCATCGTTACTGAGAAATTGTCTCAATTTCCGAGTTCTTGGGTGTTCTGCAGCTCCTTCGCACGTGGCTTTCAGCTCCGCAGTTCTAGCACTTTGGTTTCTTGTCACTCATTTTCCGTCCCATGGCATTTAATTGTCAGTTTAACTTGTCTGTCTTATTTTCCGTGCTCTAGTGTGTTCTGCAGTTCCTTCGTAGGTATCCTGAAAGACACCTACGAACCGCAGTTCGTAGCAATTTCAGCACTTTAGGGTCGGTTTCTTTCCACCAATATACCGTCTCAAGGCATTCACTGGTCTTGCCAAATCATTCGTTTTATTTTCCGTACCCTGGGGTGTTCTGCAATGCCGTCGCATGTGACCTTCAGCACCATATCTCCAACACGTTAGAGCCAGTTCGTTCTTACTCCTACTATCGACTTGTCTGGATAAATCATCTAAACGAGCCGTTAATTGATCCACTGGCACGTGGACTCGCACAGCTCTGACTGGGTAGCGATCTCTATGAGTTGCTTGCTGGGCTGCCTCGAATTTCAGGACGTACACTAGAGCGCTTTTCAAATCTTTAACATCTGTCATTCGCAGAGCTTTCTGCATTTCAGGATCCCGGATGCCGTCGATGAAGTATTGCAGGGACAGGATTTCCCTTGTTTCTGTCGGGCACTCCGAAAAGGCCAGTTGGAACAGCCTTTCTACATCCGTGGCGAGCTCCTGAAGTGTTTCAGTGGGCTTCTGTTGACGGGATTTTAATTGAAGCCTGCTGTATCTTTTAAACAATTCTCCCCAAAGCGCAGCTCCAACGCGCCGAAGAGAGTTTCGAAATCCAGCCTTTGGTTTTCCGGAAGAGTCTGAAGGATATTCGCAGCGTCTGCTCTCAGAGAAGCGGCGAGATCACGCTCCTTAGCTTGGAAATCCCATCCATTCGCATCCGCAATTATAGAAAATTGTGTCTTATATACTTGACAGGAGGTCTTCCCATCGTACTTGGATAGCTTCAGA